TAAATTACTAAATTAAATGGCTGTCAAGATTGAACTATTTTTATAAGGTTTGTTGCACATATTCCATTAAACTGTTCCATTTAATAAAAAATAAAAAATAAAAAATTATAAATTTATATAAATTTTTTGAAAAAATAACGCAATAACAATTGCCTTGATATCAATTTTAATTCAATAATTATACCATCAATATTATAAAAGTGCTACATGAAAAAAATTAGACAAACAGAAACTTTATATTGTTTTTTTTTATCTTGTTAGTTAGTCAGTGAATTTTGTGTATAACATATTGCTGCATCAATTGCCGCAAACAAAGTTTAGCACTTTTGGCGTATTTTTTATATGATATTATTATATCAAAATATAATTATATTACGTTATACTAAGAATATCTGTTATATACAATACTAAATAAAACTTAAGGAATAAGCAAGTCTGTTATCACTTTCGCTTCTTGTATTTCGAGGATGCTTTTTTGATCGCGAATCATCTCCAACTCGTGTATCAAAGCCTTCGCAGCCTCAACGCAATCATCTGTCTCCTCCGCAACAGATACATCCGGAAATTCATCTTGTAGAAGATGCAATATTATATTCAGCTGATTGACAGATCTGCAATCATATCATTGATAATGTAAATCTATCTTCCATCATCGCAACACGTTTCATCGCAAATCGGCTGAAGAGAGCGCAGATCCGCTCGTCAGCGATCCATTACCTGGCAAAGATCTTGATATTCGCTTTGTTGACATCAATCGATTGTATCTCGACCAAACAATACATCAGACACCCATGCTCTTTCACCAAGAAAACATTATTCCAAATTTTGGTAAAGGTTCTCACGGTCAAGAAACGAAAGAATTTATTGCCGAACCCACTTCGATCATCTTGATTGTCTCGATCGTCTGTCTGAATATTAAAGATCTTCTCTATGGTAGACGTGCTTTTCAAGGCTAATATCGCACTACGTTCGTCTTCATTTAAAAGTCTTATACATGAATTATTGATCGTTTCGTCGATGGAGAGCTCAGTGGTCGGCAGAGGAATTTGGAATTGTGTCTCATCGATCTCATATGAGATTATACCCCAGCACTTGATGACAGATTCCTGATCGAACGTTAGATCGAGCACCATTGTCGCCACAACGGCTCCGGGATGGATCCAATTGATTTTTTCCGAATGGAAAAAATATCCTTCTTCCAATTTCCAGAACATCGACTCGCCGAAAATCTCCTCGTCCGGTGTGGATAACACGTATGGATAATATCTGGGGTTGAGCAATGTGCTGCAAAGAAAATTTACATAACCGTATTCTACGCTATTGACAATCACATCTAAGAGTTCCTCTTTCTCACAGTTTTCAGTTAATCATATGCATATTAATAAAATATCTTATTGCTGCTTCTAAACAATATAAAGTTTGTAGCAAATAAATTATAATTTAACAAATATTTATTAAACAATAAGATCTTATTGTAAAAATATTTATTTTTATAGATTTTACTTTTTAACGATCTAAAATATAATAATATAAATAAAAATTATAAAATACAATTTGTAGAAAATTTAATATTGATAAGTGTCTACATAAACTTTTAAATTATTATCCCGTTATAGAATATAAAATGCATAAAATTAATAAATAATAATAAGGCTCTGTAAATATAAAACAATATATGCAAAAGAAGGGCAAAGAGCCAGTTAAATAATACGCGTAAAATATAAATAACAATTTATTTTAGAACATTCGATTTTATAATTTTCGAAAATGTTTATATGTAATTAAATTATTCATTTATGATAATAAATTGTGGTTGCATCGCGTGATGTGATGTCATAATCTGTTGGGCGAAATCATTCTTGGGAAGGAGATGTTGCGCTTTCTACGAGAAATGCAAATATTGACGTTAAAGATAGGCAGATATGTCATAAAATTAGATGTTCGCGGAACTAAATAAAAAAGATAATTTTACTGAGATATTTAAAAATTTAGCTAGATATAACAGATCTGAAAATAATTTTGTTGGTTAAAATAATTATGTAGAACGCTAAAACTGGTTGCTAAAATGTTAAAATTTATTGCAGCGTTGTTCATTCATGCTTGCAATTCCCACATAATTATTTTGATGGTTCAATAAAATGATTTTTAGATTTGTATGTATAACTGAATTTTTTAATATTTCAAAATGGTTTATTCCATGTAAGCATTTAAGAATAAAATAAAACTAAATCAGCAAAATCTCTTAATTAAAATTCATTGTTGTGCTACACGACAGATATTTGCTTCATTTAATAATGATACATGATATTGATACATGACTTGTGTATGTGTAATGGATACTTACATACATTCATTAATGCGTGAAAATCCCTGATGTTACGTAACGTATGTGATGTATGCATATTGAATATAACATGAATACAGATCAATGTGAGCTAATCGAAGCGACAAACAGCTTGCATTTTAATTAATCATGTTTGAATATCAATTCTCGGTTTGAATATCAATCATGTTGAAAAAGAATGGTAAAAGTAATGCGTCGTATTCAAACTGACAGATTCATTGTTCGAACAGATTGAAATATCAATGCGAGAATAATCGAAGGCAAACTACCATTGGACTTACAGAAAGAAAATAAATCGTCTCAACTTCCGCCATTCAGACAATTCAACTTAATCTTACTTCTTTGTCTGCTCAATTTGCGCTTCCTGTAGAATATATATGGATTTAAAATCTTAACACATATACGGTTCTATAAGATATAATATTAAAATCTTAATATTTTTCAATTGCCTTGATAATTTCCATATTACTTTGATATATTTTAGATACTATTATCATATAAAAAATTACGAATAAAAAAAATTACAAGTGTTTTTTTTTTCAAAAGAAATTAGGTCACGCACAGACAACACAGTTACCAAGTTGGCGGATATGCACACGCGAATCGACCTTGAATGCAACGCTTACATCGACATTATCCATGCAAATCGACCGCGAACAAAGATACTAATCGTGATGTTCCTGCAAAAGTATAATAACACGATATCAACAATGACGGAATAATTTTATTATGCAAATTGCAACTAAAAAGAATGCTAATATAATTTGCAAAATTTACTTTCTTTTTTCTTTTCATAAAATTCAAATTGCGATGTTTTATACATTCCTCTTTCTCTTATGCACCACATGTTTTCCTTTCGTTTTAACAACATATTTAAAGCAACTCAAAGCGCGAAATTACGAATTAATTAATTAGATATTTCTTCAAATTAATATTTCTAAAAAATAAACATTAATAAGTTGATAAACATAAAAATACAGGCGAGAAAGAAGTTTCTCCGATTTCATTATTTTTCGTTGCAATCTTATACTCTAATCTACTTTTCAGTCCGTTGCTTTCTAAATTGAGATATTGTATCGCAACAGAAGTTTGGTCGAAGAAGTCTGCTGCCGACGTTTCGACGCAATCTGATATAGCTATTTTCACCTCATCACCACTGAAGGAATCGCTAAAAATTTCTTCAAATGAAAAGCCAACCGAAAGTGGGTGAAGGAATTTCAAGCGCCACAACTATTCAATAGCGATGATGAGGCGAAGACAGCCGTACGAAATCAGATTAAAAAAATAAAAGATTGTCCTAATCAATAAAAAGATTATATCAACAATTCTTTCATTTATAGCTTTAATACTAGTTTTTTTATATTTTTACATTTTATTCTTCTTTTCTATATTTCAATACGAATTAAAATGCAAATAATAAAAACAAATGTCGGAAATAAAATTAAATATAATGTACAATTATTAATAATGCAAAAATGTAATTCATGTTATTTCTAATAAAATTATAGAATTATGTATTTTAAACATTCATTAAACTCATATCCGAGAAAGAAAATGTTAATTACATTCGTGTAATTGAGATGCAATATTTCATGGTCAGTTTTTCGCAATGCAAATAATTGCAATATCTTGGAAATAGCGTTTACAATTAGCGATTGTCATCATGGCGTGGTCGACGCGAATTATCAGTTATCATTGGTAATTAAGTCCCAATAATTATATTCTCGATCTCCGAGAAGGCACTCACTTGCTCGTGACACCTCGCAAGCCGCGGCGCGTTTGCGCGAGAGACGTCCAGCGGCAAATCGACCCGCGAAAAAACCAACCAATGAACAGAAGCAGGCAAATCGCAGGTCTGGCTTCGAGTATTTACATCCCGACACAAGATTAATATATTTATTATTCTCATATTCATATAGCATTCACTTGCAAATGCATCCTTATCTTATTTAATCTTACTATATTTCATTATTAATATAGAATTCAAATTCTATTTTCATTTTCGTACATAAAATGACGGAAAACGTGTATACGCGTGTATATTATAATTTATAACAAATAAATATTCTGTTGTTTTTGTATATATGTAAGTACATATTCGCTTCTACCATATACGCCAAGATTTGATAACATTACCTTTAAACTTAAAAAAAAAAATAAAAAAAAAAAATCAACTTCTCTTTAAATTTGATTCCTCGATTTTGAGTTAGGAAAATATTTAGATTAATTTCTTTAAATTTTGTAAAAAGACAGACGAGTGTCAAAACCATTGTTGTATCGAGTGTTTCACGTACTCCGAGTCTCGCGATAGTACAAGAGTCGTGAGCATCGCGCCTACTAGAACACCTTGCGAAACCGGCCCTGGTGGAACGGGTCGGGCGGTAGCGTCGAGGCGCTCATGAAACGGGTCGGTCGGTCGGTCTCAGTGATCTGCACGATGCCGCCGTGATCGTACGGCATCGTACTTTTCCTGGTGACACGCGGTACGCATCACGTGGCACCACACACTGCGTCCGCGCGCTCCTGGCCTCCTGCGGTGCGACCACGTCTGACGTACCTCGCACCGGCGCGTTGCACCGACCCGGGGGAGAAACGACGCCCGCCGACGACACCCGCACGCGACAACAAATGCGTCAGTGATTTCGCCGTTGGATATATGCCCGGAGAAGGTATACCCACGATACACGCGACGATCGACCTGGACAGGTCTCCTCGGCGGTAACGCGACCCCTGCGCGCAAATCCCGGGATTAGAAAGGCCACCCGCTGACCTCGTGAACCCATGACACAGCTGTACACAACCGTTTTTCCATGATTGCGAGACTGATCGTCATCCAGGAAGCGCTGCTTTTCGCGATAACGTCACGGGGATACAATGAAGATAAAACTAACGTAATGTCGAATCGCGTGTACGAACGATAACATTAGACCAAGTGAAAATTATCACGACAGTTCGTGACCGTTTCGCAGCAACCCCAGGATTTTAAAGATTCGTGATAACTGAAACCTCGTGGTATTAATATCAATCGTAATTAAACGAATATTTTCTTCTAACATATATTATTATCAATGCCATAAACTAGAATCACAAAAGGATTCAAAAGTTAAACTACAGTTAGAATGGATCGTTAATAAAACTACACTTTTAAATATGTATCGCCATAAATTGAAGGTACACGTTGAAATAAAATTATGTAATTACAAGGAACATAAGTGCTATAAAAAATAAAAGAAAAAAAGACACCTTGAGAGATCTTCGATTGTCATTTGTTCAAGAAATATAATCAATGTCAGCGGTATATTACACTACGATAATGCTGAATATTATACATTTACATGAAATACAAAAGCCTTATATATTCCCTAAAGAAAAATAAGTATTTAAGTTCATAAGGGTGATACCGCCAATCAAATCATCTATATCATCGTTGCTTTTCGTATAATATATTTCACTATTAGGAAAAATTCTTATGTATCTAATTCGAGTATGTAACTCGAAAAATTCTTGTGCATCTAATTTGAATATGTAACTCGAAATTAATATCTTGAATTTAAAGGTACTACACGATACATGCTTAAAAATCTAAGCTTAACAGCTTCAAATGGTTAATCATAATTCAGCTGATTTATTTTCTCTCGGTCTTAGAAAGAAGTGAAGTTACACCGATAATGCAGGTTAACTACAATAATTGCACATTAGATATTCTCATTATCTCTTTGTTCAGTATATATAGTTCTACATAGAGACGCAGAAGAAGAAATGAACTAATCGAGTCCACTTAAATTAAGGTCAAAATTAATTGACATTAGAAAGAGTGAAATCTTATTTGCAATTTGATTCCTTTAATATCTCTCGTAGTTACTTGTCATCGACAAATATAACTTCAAGGCTAATTCTAATAAATCAATCCTTGAAAAAGAACAATTACAAAAATAGATCCCGACTTTTCTGTAAAACATTTGTCTTAGCACCGAGACACTACGGTGTCTCCAAATGCGCACGTAGAGTCACGCATATTTTATATTACAAACGTCAGGACCTATTTTAAGATTTTAATAATAAAATCACTCAATACAATTTGTTTAGAAATTTGTTTTTGATTTTGTTAATTCATCGCTTATACGCATAAATATGCTTTGTAAGCAAATATTATTTCAACCTAATTTTACAAATATCATCATAATTATTTACATTAAGTAACGACTTTGCTCTTTAATAATTTTAATATTATTCATCTGCTATCTTATAGTTTAATAATAAGATTTATTAAGGCTTATTAAGATCCTTCAATTATCAGTTAATTCTTTCTAAAAACATCAATAGCTTTTTTCATATTGAATTACTTCAAATCTTCCAAATTACTATCTTTTATAGACAAAATTTTAATCGAATGATAATAGGTTAATGTTTGAGTCAACATTTGCGAGTGTCACATGCCTCAGTAATAAATTCTTATTCCGCGTACACAATGCAAATGTAATCGTGAATTACAAATCAACGGATCCATTCACGTCGAGATCAAAGATCATTCCCTTCGCTGTGAGAGCAAACCGTTTCTCTCATCATGGATCTCACGGAAAATATAAGTCACATGCACATAGAATCGCCTAGGCTTATATAATCTGATGCTGAAATCCTGACATTAGTATGAATCCGTTTTGCATTGTCGCATGCAAAGAGAGATGACTTACAGAGAAAAGTTTTTGATATTTATGATTATGATTACATATTACCATAATTATACTATAATAACATGTAATCATAGTGAAGATAACAATAATGTTATTTATGTTACCATAATTATGATTATTACTGCTATAATGTTATCCTACTAAAAACATGCAATTTTTCTATACACTTATCCAGTTACTGTATTTACTGTATATTTTCATTAATTGTAACAAGATTTGCGTAGACAAGGAAGTAGACAAGGACTTGATGAAGTTTATTTAGCTGAAACAATTTTCTTGATTGAAAAATATGTGCAATTTGTGTAGACACCTGCCCAGTTGTTGTTTAAAACTCTAAAATTAATAGATTATTATTAATTAAAATACTGTGTAGCTTATTGTTTTTGTTTAGTAAATGGGTTCGGATTTTATGCGTCTTTTGTGCGCAGTAAATACAAGTAAGACATTTACATCTTAATTGGGATCTTAAATAGTTTAATTTTACTCATCAGTTACTTAGGCAGTTAATTGCTCAAAAAATATAATTTCTTCTAGGGTTAGTAATGATAACTATATATACTATATATATAGGTTCTATACTCTAAAAAATAACTATAAATTGCAATGATGTATTTTTATAACAAACTACAATTTATAATCATTTTCAATTATATATATATTTGTTGTTAAAACTAAACATATAATTATTATTACTAACAGTAATGATTATAATTTATTAGCTATAATTATGAAAGAAAAAATTCTAGTTAAAAATAAATGAACCAGATTTTGATTACATCAATCAGAATTCTCAACTAGAATTACAATAGATTTAATCAGAAAATTATGATTTGTCTATTTTCAACCAGAATTCTAATTAATGCAACCACTCTTTTTGTAGTAATTATATATATAAATATATATAATATTTTGTTTATGTTTAATTCATCACACTAATATTACGCAAAGAAATTATCGTTCTAGCCGATAATACTCAACTTCATAATATTACATATTTTTACTGTTATTATATAGTATATTTTATCTCAAATAAAAAAAATGAGATCTTCAATTAAAAAAAAAAAGAAATATTTTTCGATTGCTTAGTTGACTATTTGAATAAATTTTCTCACGGTGTCATGGAAGCAGGAAAAACACATTTTACTGATTGCATCAACTAGTAGAATAGAGTTACGTAAAGATTATGTGACTGCAGATAAATGGCACAATAGATTATCTGAACAATATGAAAACGGAAAGAAGTCATTTTTTATTTGTTTTAAAGACTAACCGACTGATATCCGTGCCTATGATATTGTAACATCGATACTATAACAGCGAACACGTTTGCTATGTAATATAATCCGTAGATAAAGGAACAGTACAGAAAACAATTACACTACTTGAGATATATCAATAGTTACACAGAAATGCAACTGTTATTTCTGTATGTTGTCTTTATATCTATCTCTATATCTTACCATTATAAAAATAACGATTTTTTTTCAATAAAAAAGTAACATCTATAATTCATCATACTTATTATGGCTACAGCACTGGTAAGTGCTATTCCTGTGAACTATCTCTGAAATACGCTTATTTTATAAAACTTAATGGAATTCGAACGTCCTTTTAGCGCAACACTTCCATGAAAAAATTCGCATACGCCCTACTCAATCCTTTTCGCAACTGTGCAATTTTTCTTTCCGCTCTTTTTACCTGTCAAGCGCAACGCGAACAATACATCAACGCGAAACTTGTTTCGAGAAAAGCGAGATTCATAATAGCCTCTTAATTCGCTTTATTCGATAATTACACATTTCTCCGCGATTATTCTTTTAACATGAAACTTTGTTTCGACGCAAGCAATAATTACTAGGGATGCACCGGACATCCGAAAAGTACCCGATATCCAGTATTATCAGGCACTTTTTTTACTATCCGACCGGATAGCCGGATATCATTAGTATCCGGGAATATATCCGGTTGAAATTTGATATCATTAAATTGTTAATTTTTTCTTATGCAAATATTCTAAAAATAAGTATGCATATTTATGATACTGTAATATGTTATACATTGTTGTAAAATTACAATTTTTTTCTGTATAGGTTTTTTTTCCAAGACACTTTCTCCGAATCCGGTCGGATATTCGGAAAATGTCGGATATCCGACTCAAAGAAATCGCCTTCTCGGATATCCAAGCGGATATCCGATGTTATTCTGTCCGGATATTCGATATCCGGTATCCGGTAATTTTACGATCCGGTGCATCCCTAATAATTACATTTAATTACACAGTATTGACGGGTTAAGGATCAGTTTTTTTATCATTAAGATCTTGTTTTTCAAATATTCTTTTTCTCACTGCAGATTGTTATCCTGCATACATGTTTTCATTGCGTAATATCAATCTCGAGCTTCCTTCTCACGATGGCTGATTAATCCAACGTTCCTACGTATCAGAATATTATGGTGCTCCAGTGTAGCGGTTCGCATAACTCGACGAATAGAATACAATAACGAATCTCGATAAATCTGCCAGTCGACGAGTAACCAGACACACGATTATGCGAACGTCGAGAAAGTCAACTATGAGTGGGATCATCCACGCCGACGTTACCGCTGACATACTGACCGTGAGAATTTCTGCAGCGCGCGAATGCTTATCGCGTGGATGCGGTCACATTTCCGCGGCTCCATAGCTGCTTGGCGCGCAAATACTCGCGATCACGATACACAGACAAACGCATACCGACACCGAGAAATGCGAAACTGATTACCCATTCCATCGAACTGGCGCGCCTCCTTCTTCTCACACTATTTGTAGCATTTCCGTGAATAAATACAACGCTCTTATGTCTCCTATAATTTTCTTCGTTGATCTAATTATTGTACCATTTGAGCCATCGACTTAAGTATTCTTGAGTCGTTATGCGTGTCTCGATACATCTTTATATGTAAGCTAATCGATATACTAAAATTAAGGACCTTTCTCATCAATTTTTCGTTAAGTTAATTAAGGATTATTTCGCAAAAGAGCCAATAGTTCAATAAATTAGAACTTTATCTCTCTCTCTCTCTTCCTTTCTGAGGTAAACTGTGATCACATTGGCAATCGTAACGATTGAGTTAACCATCGATTAGTTTGAAATTAGTAAAAAAGACTCCAAGGCCCATTTTTCATTTTCTGATTAACTTGTAATGTTAGACTTAATCCTTAAATACTTTTTCGGTAGGCTATATCCGAATTTTTTTTCAAATGCTTTTTCAGTGCTTTTTCTATTGTTTATTAATTGTTTGTTAACTTTTTATTAATTTTATTAACCCTTAGTTACTGTATAGGAGTACGGTATATCCAGAACGTTTGAAAATTGCGCAGCATTTGTAGAAATCGGAAAGTGAGGTGCTAAACGTAGGAGGAGAAAAAAAACTTAATGTTCAACGTATTTTCCCATATCTAACGTCATCAGTTCGTGTGAAAAAGCGGTAGCAATCGTTCTTTTTCTATAAAAAAAAATCGTGCAATTTCACTTGTCAAAATATACTTGCCCGGAAATATTTTGACACATGTTCTTAATTAAAATATACACCTTCAACTGTGTAAATAAAGAAATTAAAATTTATTCTATTAGTTTCTGTATTTCTATCTCTACATATTAATAATTAATTTTTTGAAGAATTATTATTTATTATTAATAATTAATGATTAATAATTTTTCATTTAATAATTTTACAATTAATAATTTTTTGAAAAAAGTATTCTTCGTGACTTTTTCATAATGACAGTTCGAAAAATTGACTTTTATTCATTATTAAACATTTTTTTATATTGACAATTTTCGACAATTTTATTTATACATAGTTCTTCTTTAGATCTTCTAAAATAAAGATTTTACATATTTATTTTAATCAATGCATTTTACCAAAAATTAGAGACAGTTGAACATTGACGGAGTATGCTATACTCCCGTATAGTAACGATGAAAGTAAAAATATATATGATAATTGAAGGTTAACAATGATACACACATTTGGTACACAAATTGGTATTATATTTCTTAATTGCCTGGCACTTAATTGCCTTTTGATTAGTGAAAAAAAATTACAGTATTTATTTTTACTGGATATAGATCTCATATCAGCAGAAATACAATTATTCATTCCGTTATTACAGATCCTTGGTATGGATACCGAACTGTTAAACCAAGCCTATCATAGCAAGCCTTAATTTATTTTTGACAACAAATATGACTTTGAACAACATGATCCGTTATAACGAATCTGACTCTCATTTTATTGTTTGAGTGAGCAGAATATACATCCCGCTTATCTGATTTTAAGTGATTGTATAATATCATTTAATTTTTTAAACCATTGACCTTCTATTAATTATTTTATAACACAGATTAGCAGTTAACACGTTTGTTGCGATTTCTGTTCTAGTAAGTCAATTTATGTTATCTTTCTCATTATTTTTAATTTTATTGATTTCGATACATTCTATTTTTAAGACACTCAATACTTTGAGTCCACTCAATCTAGCAACTAGTATGAGAAATATCTCCTTTACAAGAGAATTCTTGATTTGCTTCAGAGACTATAATAGACAATGCATATCTTTATTTTTATAAAAGTACGTAATACAAGCATTCTAGCAAGTATTTGATGTTTCATCTCTGAAAAAGATTAGAAGACTAATCGAAACGCGAGCGAGCATATGATTTTTAGTCTTAGTGAAGAATGTATAATTAACATTCGTTTTTTTCTTTTTTAAATAAATTTCTTTAATATTTTAATATTTTAATTTAATATTTCTTTAAGATTATAAGATTTCTTTAAATTTAAATATTAACGCAGGATTTTTAGTGCCTATTCTTTCTTGGCCGAATTTTTATTATTTTAATTTGTACGAAAGTTATAAGCAATCAAATTGAGTAGGATGTATTGTACTATAAATCACAACGTTTTGTTCTCATTGTTGTATGGCCTTTAAAGATTAGCCTGATGTTAATGTCAAAATAGTATTTTTTACTATGGTTAATCACTAAACTGACGATTTTGTAGTGCGTAATTCTTAAAGTTACAATCACAAAACCATCACTTTAGTCACAGAAAAACATAATTTTTACATTATTGTCAGATTAAATGAAGTTAAACCTAATTATAAGTTAACCAGAAAATTAAAAACCGGGTCTAAGAAGTGCTACAGAAAAAAATTTGTGTATTTTAGAAAAATAATTCTTTTTTTAACCGAACACAAATACTAAAGTTTCTGTTTTTTGTTGATCAAATTGTCGATGTGCGGAACAAACATCTATTCGTCACAGGTGCATCTTTGTAATCTTTCCATGTGGCCGTTAGAATAAAAGAAAATGTATGTCAATATAATGAGAATTGCTTATAAAAATTCTAAAAGAAGTTTATAATTGATTGAACTATCAAAACGATCACGTCTATGTCAGAATGCGTCGCACGAAGACGTAATAGTACATTTGTCATCATCTTGCTAAGCTTCCTTGTCAAAGCAAAAAGCATATACACACATTACACAATGTTTGCGAAACAAACCGAGCCATTAATTCTGTCGTTTCTATCTCGCTGTGAAATAAAGATTATTTACACTACCGAATTTAAACGGTATTTTTTGCCGCGCTAATACAAACAATGGTACGAGTGTCGTCATCAGACGTGAGAGCTACAAATCGCGGACTACTAAATAATTTCTGATCGAAGCATAATAAGCATAATAACCTGCAATATCTTGATGCATTTACGTTCATGCTCATGGTTTATCACCTAATCTCGAGCGTCCTAGTTAACTAATAGATTCGAAGTATCAATGTCGCGAGCGAGTAACGGACAATGCAATTAACGTAATGGGGGATCAGCAATTAATTACAACTATTCATTGCGTAGGAAACATCGTATATACTGATTCTTTAAATACAAAGCGCCTTTTCGGTCGAGTGTTAAGATGTTGAACTACTATCTAATATACATTCAATTAAATTGAATTAATATTTCAGAAATAAATTGAGAGCCGATGGATTTATCGGATTCACACAATCAATCTGAAACAAATAATCCCCCC